TTTCCACTTTATTTTCAGTTTCTGGGCCATGTGTGATAACATCCATAGCTATTGGCATGGCTGGAACAAAGAAAAGGAAGGATGGAATCAGGCAGTTTTGAGAGAAGTTTTAAAAAGTGATTTTTGTTCTGTATATTTGGTGAGGCACAGTTTGGTAGTTTAGAAAAGAACATGACAACATTTGCTACTTTTGAAGTGAAGTTGGAGTTTATCAGCTGAGAACCATCCAAGTAGCAATGAGCAAATGAGAACACCTGCTCTTTATTGATATGCACATACTGCTGAAGATTGAAATCTCACAGGAAAGATACTTCTGCAGCTCAAGAAAAGTGTAAGAAAAAATTGTGAAGAGTAAATCTAATCAACTAAATGATAGAGGTGTTAAACTAGGGAGTATGTCTAACTTTTAGATTATTTTGTATGTTGGTTTTGTTGCTGTTGTTAACAGTCCAAGGTATTTGTTGTTTAACCAAAGCTTCATTGCTTATCCTTTAACAGCCCTTCCACTTGATTCTCCAGAGAAATCATTAAACAAGCTTAATTAAATAAAGCAAAACATTGCCTTTTAAAACACCCAGTACAAAGGTATAAATAAATAAATAAATATTGCATTTATTCCATTCTGTTCTGTAATCATTTTGTGAATTCATAATGCTCTATTCTAGTCATTATGAATGCTTTAATTAGAAGAATTTCTAAAATTCATTCCAGAAGTAGACCATGCCTAGATTGCATCTAATTTCCATTACTATAGAGTCTTTCCACCTCTATTGCCCTGGTGAATATTGTAAACATCCAGTCCTGCCTGCCTGCCTGCCTATTATTTTTGAGTTGTGCTTTTACCAGTGGGCACAGGTGGTCCTGCACATTGGTAAAACACTATAGTCTTGAAAACATTTTAAATGGAAAATCACAACAGTGTTGTTTTCCTATATGTAGTCATTGCTCACTGGTACATATGGTACCAGGGAAATTCTGGACACAGAAAATGTGTTAGCGTAGTTATGCAGAGCGTGAAGACCATGTAAACCTGTAGTGCCAGGATCCAGACTTTCTCTGATGAAGTTGTCAGCTTGTCAGCTGGAGAAGCTCCTCTCCCCTTCCAGACAGAGCAAGGAAACTCCACAGACAGACGTCTCTCAAAGGAGGCTTTAATCTTTGTTGCTCTATGTACAAGGCTATGTACAATAATTTTCCAACGCAAACCACAGTAATACATACGACTATGATCAACATCACTACTACAACCACACATGTGTCCAGAGGTTTGTGCCTTATATAGCCATGCCTCTAAATGGCAATCTGGCCCTGCCTCTTCCTGTTGGCCACCTGTCACTCACCTGAATGGCACTGCAGTTTTGCAATAGTTTCACATCAGCTTGGTATGCTTTCCAGCACCAGATGACTACCCTCATGTTGTCATATCCTGTGACTCAGCATGAGACTGCATGACTCAGCAGTGGCCAAATGCTGACTCATCATGGCTGCTGCTTTCCACCACATTGGACATTTTCCCCCAGGGACTCCATCCTAACAAAATGTTGCTGCAGTCAAGCATATAGTCACATTTAGATTGCCCTTCTATATTGTTATTTTTATCAGTGTCTTCATTATTAAATTGAAAGAAACTGAAACTATGACTTATATCCTGTTGTTAATCTTGACTAGAGTAGACTCATTTAGTCGATGGAAATAGGTTTACTCTAGAAGGATATGACCAACAGTATGCCAGACTATATGTGTACATTATGTGCAGGCCTGTATTAGAAGGTCAGGTTGGGAGAAAAGAGCACTTACCATCATGTTCCTGCTGCTCTCTTTGCATGCTGGAGGATTGATTTGTTTCTGTCAACAGAAAAATAAGAGAGAAATCCCCCCAGTCATCAGCTTTTACCCATTAGGAATACTACAAGAAAAAGCTGCACAGGGAAAGAAAGAAAAAACCTTTAGATGCACATTAGTGGACATTTATTAGCACAACTGTGGTATTATTGTCCATTATTATTTTTACATTCCTTTTCTTTACCAAAAAAAAAAAAAGACTCCAGCTATCTTACAATTAAAATGTACAGCAGTTAAAACAGTAGAACACATGCTATATAGAAATTTCAAGAAAGGAAACATGAAAATTGGATGTAGGAAAATCAACAATTTAACATATGCAAATGATACCATACTACTAGCATAAAATAATAAGGACATGAAACAATTACTGAAGAAAGCCAGGGATGAAAGTGAAAAGACAGGTTTACAGCTGAACAGTAAGAAAGCCAAAATAATGACCACAGGTGATTTATATAACTTTGAAATAGATGAAGACATTGAAATAGCTCAACATTTTTTATACCTTGGCTCAATTACTATTTAGAATAGAGAATGCACCCATGAAATCAGAAGACTAGGACTTAGAAATGAAGCTATGAAGGAACTAGAGAAGATCCTGAAGTGCCAAGATATATTATTGAGTACTAAAGTTAGGGTTGTCTGTGCAGTCCTATGTCCCATTTCTATATGTTTGTGAAAGCTGAACAGTGAAGAAAGCTGATAGGAAGAAAATCAATTTATTTGATATGTAGTGCTGGAGAAGAGTTTTGTATACTGTGGTTTGCTAGAAAGATAAATAAATGGGTTCTAGAGTAAATCAGGTCTGAACTCTCCCTAGAATGATCACAATAAGTCAAAGCCAACTTGAAGGCAGTTAACAACAACAAATATATTTAGCAAGATGATGTAGCCATAATTGTAAAAAATGGATGGGACAAAAAAAAATTCCAACAAATTAAAATTCCAACGAATTAATTATTGAGATTTGCCATTGAGGTACTTTTAGTTCAATCTATTGAAATAAAAATATGCCTATGATGTTTTGACAGCAAAGAACAATGCAGAGAAACAGAAGTTTCATACACTGGTTGTCAGTAGCTTGGCCTCATTCAGGGGATATAGCAGTTTCTTCGATAATGAAACTCATTGTAGTCACAAACATCCCAAAATGCATAAAGGTGAGATGACCTCATAGGGTACCTCCTTCATTTTATACCCAGTCAGTCCTCAAAGTCATCCAGAAAGTGCCTCCTGCTAGTCCCACATATTCCTGAGATCCATTGTGCAATCATTTCAGAGTCCTGCACTAAAAACAGTGGCATACCCCTTCTCTTACAAATTGGAAATGCTTCAAATGTTGTTTTAATTACATGGTAGAAATTACTTACATTTGCAATGTTTCCCGGTGTAGGTCAGTCTACTATCTATTTTCATGTACAATATAAATGTGTTTTGTGTTTTGTGTTGTTGTTATTTACAAAAACATTCTATACTGCATTGAAATCATCAGACCTGTGTTGTTCAACAATATTAATAAATAAACCTGTTTTTGCTTATTACTTCTACAATTATTATTATTATTATTATTATTATTATTATTAATAATAATATTTAGTGCACCTCTTTGTTTTCTGGCTCCAGGCATGGGGCTGGAATTCACAAAAACTTTTTCGGACATGAGCTGTCCTTATAATTTACACAGAGTGGAATTTTCATTGGGGTCATAAAATACCACAGTTCACACAAGGCAAGCTTTTTGTTTGTTTGTTAATCTATTCCATGAAAGCTCAGTTAAAAAGAGGTTATAATCTTTCCATCACACTCAGAAAGAACTATTTTACTTTCACTAAGCACAGGGGTAGAGAACCAATTTTGAAAAAAAGCACATTTAGGGAATTTTAAATGTTTTGAATTTATACCACAAATGCCTAATTTGATTAAAGAGAATAAATAAAGGCTTAGGAAAGGAAACTCATGCTTCAGCAAATTTAGAAGGGTTTTTAATGATATTATTGTTATGGGGTTCTGAATGGCTCAGGGCATTAGTAATGGGATACAGGAGCTCTGCAACTCTAGGTCACCATGTCAGATTTGGCCTAGGTCAGTTGTGACCAAAAATGTATGGCTATTACTTTTATAAACTAATTATTTTACTGATTTATGTCAATCGGGTTGTCCCTGTGAAATGAATAAGAGGTTCCACCCAGGCTCTCTTGCTGCAGTTGGCCCTGTCATGCTAACAACTGTCAATCTCAGCAAAGCAATCAAGTATGGAAGAGGCAAGGAGAATGAATTACCTTATGACCTCTAGAAATCCTTGCAGGTCATGTCTGGGACATCATGTAGCCAGAACTAAAATGATAAAACTTTAAATTCAGTTCCCAATACTGATCCTTTCCAAAA